TCCATGCCTGATGATACGCTGTCCCAAAGAAGACGATCCTTGAACATGGACGCAACTGGTGTGTTTCCGTTAGGTTTCCCTTCCATCCGATCCAAAAGCTTCCCTGGACAAGGCCATCAAGGCCATGCACTCCTCTTCCCCGAGCCCCGGACGCCGCAAGCCCGGACTTCTGCACCGGCGCCTGAGCCTCGGTAGCAAGCTGCACAAGCCACGCCTCAACACGCCAGACCGCATCTGCCGAAGATCTGTAGATTGCTCGAAATTCGAAGTGCCCGGCTCTTCCGGGTGAACCAAGCAGGAACCGACCCAAAGAGTCCCGGATATGTTTCTGGAGCAGACCGGAGTTCATCCTGGCCTTTTGTGCGGCGTTTGGCCACTGGCCCAGTCAAAAGAACAAATCCCGATACGAATTCAGCGTCAAGAATGCCAATGATCCTTAGCACAATGCCAGCATGATTCCAACCAAAGCAAATGATGCACCGATTGCAGATGCAGCACCGGAAGCCCAGCATCAAATATTCTATGCAGCACAATATCAAAGAGCCCTTTTGAAGGAAAAGCCAAGATACTATCTCCTGCTTGCGGAATCAAGCGAGTCCAGATCAGAATGATCTCGGGCAACAGCACGAACACCGCTCCCCTTTGCGGAATCATTGTAGCAGCGAAAGATGCCGATTGTGGCACTAATGGCAAGCTGCCGTCAAGCTTGCCAGCGGTGCCCAACAGCACCCTAATTAATTGCGTTCATTCAGTGAGCCAAGATCAAGTAACGTGATCAATTGTCCATTTGTTTCATTTTTGTTCCATCACGGAGCGCTTCTTGAAGGGTCCAAGCAGCCCCACAAGTCCCCAGAGGCTCAAAGCGCCCGCGAGAAAATCAAACGCGTGGCTCGACGCTCGGCACCCGGCCGTCACGAAGGCATCGCTGGCAGAGGCCACCAACACCAGGGCGGCTGCTGCCACGGCAAGCAGCGCCTGAGCTATGCAAAGCTCAGAAACCCGCGGGGAAGAAACGCTCCTGATGCCAGCCTGAATGAAATCCGCCGACCCCATGTCTGGTCCAGAATGGACCATGCTTTTGGCATGGGGGCGGTGTGCTCTGTGTTGCTTTCGTTGATATGTGTTCTGTAGGCTTAATGTAAATATAATCAAAGGAAGTTTAGAAGGAACTTCCGTGTTTCAGCAACTAATTGAAAGCCAGCTCTCGCTGAGACAGATATGCGCGCGAGAAAATATGTGCGCGTGTGTGGTGGGAGTATAGAAAGCTGCAAAAGCATGGCCCCGTGCGTGAATTGGTGTCTCCGGAGATGCGGCGCCTGGTCGGACTACTCTTGGAGCGCGTTCTGAGTGCGTTCGGAGCGCGTTCGGACCATGCTCGGAGCGGGCCCATTGGCACGGCAACGCGGAGGTTTCGCAAGGATTGAATTGCGTGGCAGGCACAGCACTTTCGCAAGGTGAGGTGCAGATTTCATAGCAGGCGCAGCACTTTCGCAAGGTCAAGTTTTCCCAAGGTCTGAATTTCGTGGCAGGCGCAGCACTTTCGAACGGTCAGGTGCAGATTTCGTGGCAGGCGCAGCACTTTCGCCAGGTCAAGTACAGATTTCGTGGCAGGCGCAGCACTTTCGAAATGTCAAGTAAAGATTTCGTGGCAGGCGCAATATTTCGTGGCAGGTGCAGCACTTTCGCAAGGTCAAGTGCAGAATGCGTGGCAGGCGCAGCCTTTTGGCAAGGTCGGGTGCAGATTTAGTGGCAGGCGCAGCACTTTCGCAAGGTCAAGTGCAGAATTCGTGGCAGGCGCAGCACTTTCGCAAGGTCAAGCAAAGATTTCGTGGCACGCGCAGCACTTTCGCAAGGTCAACTTTCGCAGCCGGGGCTCGAAAATCGCAACTCTTAAGTACAAACGTAGTACGCGAAGTCAACTTTCGTAGCTGGGGCTCCAAAATCGCAACTTTTAAGTACGAAAGTGGTACGCGAAGTCCACTTTCGCAGCTGGCGCTCGAAAATCGCAACTTTTATGTACGAAAGTAGCACGCGAAGTCCACTTTTGCAGCTGGGGCTTGAAAATCGATAGGCAGATAGATAGATAGAAAAAGAGTGAGAAAGAGAGAGATGGATAAATAGATAGAGAGAGAGAGCGAGATAGATAGATAGATAGATAGACAGATAGAGAAATAGATAGATACATAGATAGAGAGATAGAGAGATAGATAGATAGATAGGTAGATGGATAGAGACATAGATAGATAGATAGATAGATAGATAGATAAATAGATAGAGAGGTAGATAGATGGATGGACAGATAGAGAGAGAGAGAGAGAGATAGAGGGAGAGATAGATAGATAGATAGATAGATAGATAGAAAGAGAGATAGAGAGCTAGGTAGATATCTAGATAGAGAGATAGAGATAGATAGATAGGATAGATAGGTAGAGAAAGAAAGATAGATAGATAGATAGATAGATAGACAAATAAAAAGACAGAGAAGAGACAAAAGAAAGAACGGCACAAAAATAAGCAAACGAAAGAAAGAAAGAAAAGACAGATAGAAAGAAGGAAAGAAGGGAGGAAGGAAGGGAAGAAAGGAAGACTGACGGAGAAAAAAGAAACAATGAAAAGGAAGAAGAAGAGGATAAGAGTCAAGAAAAGAAAGAGAAACATAACTATAGTTTTTATATTTTTGAAACTTCCGCCCACCGGCTTGGCCGGCTCTACTGGTTATGTATATATATATATATATGTTTCTTGGGGCGGGAACATACGTCGGCTGGATTTCTGGATCTCTGCATCTCTGGATCTCTGGACCTATAGATCTCTGGATGTCTGGATCTCTGGATGTCTGGGTGTCTGGGTCTCTGGATGGTGTCTGCATCTCTGCATCCCTGGATCTCTGGATGTCGGATCTCTGGATGTCTGGATGTCTGGATCTGGCTCTCTGGATGTCTGGATGTCTGGATCTCTGGATGTCTGGATGTCTGGATCTCTGCATCTCTGGATGTCTGGATCTCCGGATGTCTGGATGTCCGGCTGTCTGGATGTCTGGGTGTCTGGATCTCTCACTCCCTGGATCTCTGGATCTCCGGATGTCTGGATGTCTGGATGTCCGGCTGTCTGGATGTCTGGGTGTCTGGATCTCTCACTCCCTGGATCTCTGGATGTCTGAATCTCTAGACCTCTGGATGTCTGGATGTCTGGATGTTTCGATGTCTGGATGTCTGGGTGTCTGGAACTCTCACTCCCTGCATCTCTGGAGGCTTGGATCTCTGGATCTCTGGATGTCTGGATCTCTCGATCTCTTGCCCCCCCCCTTCCCTCCCCCCCCCTTCCCCCCCCCCTGCGTGCTGTCTGTGTCTCTTTGTGTCTGTCTGTGTCGGTCAACGTATCTGCGTCTGTCTTCGCCCTATTGGGGGCGGCGGAAGCAGGCCGCAGCCCATTAAATAAGTCGCAAACATTAGGGAGCACTGCGAAAGAAACCAATATCATGCGTGAAGGCCAAGCCAATGACTACACTCCCAGAAAACGGAAACCCCAAAAGGTCTCTTCACACGAAACCGCTTGCGGGTGGGAAGGTAAATCGATTGAATAGTCTCAAAGGAGCTTTTTAGGGCACGTGGAGGGTACTCCTTTTTCTCAGGGGACAGTACACCCTTTCGGCCTTCTGAAGAAGGGACCCTGGCATTCTAGACTCAGTGCTGATGCCAAATGACCCCAACACTAAAATCCAACACTAAAATTAATTCTCGCTTTGATCAACGTGAGTTGCAAACTGTGGAAAATTGACAACTGCCCAGGGCACTGAAAAGGCAGCCAGGGAACCAAGCTGTTATTCGGGGTCAAACACAAATAAAATCAGAATAATGATCGCACCTACAAAAAGTGAGCTACAATGCATCTCAAGAGATTTGGGACTCTTCGATCCCCGTCTCCCTGCCTGTGCACGACTCGGCGTCATGCGCGCGCGGCCGCGGTGCATCATTGCCTCGCGAGACGGCTGACCGCTCCGCGTTTTCTGAGGAAACCTGGCTCTTTAGACCAAACAGCACTTTGAAGCTTTGTAAGCTTAGGGGGGATCCCCCCAAAGTGGTTGTGGCGGTGATAATTGAAGATAACTGAAGTGTTGGCAAATGATGAGGTTCCTTTGGTTTCTCTTCAAACTGAGGGGAGCGGTCCTTCGCTTAGACCTGGCTGAGACCTTGCCGAAACCTACGTCGCACTGGAGGAAAGCAAAAGATGAAACGGGCGAAGCTGAGCTTATTCTGGACAAGCGGGTCGGACCCAGCTCACGGTTTCCAGGGCCACGTTGGGGAGCTTGCCTGGGCCTTTGACCCCTCGTTGATGTTCTTGCTGGTTGCTGAGGAAACGGTCATTGTCCAAAAGATTTAAAGGTGGAAGGTCAAACAACGAGGCAAAGCTTCATACATCATCCAAATGCCCTCTGGATAATTGGCGGCCCACATTTGCTATAGGTGGGTCCTAAAACAAAGGCATTGCACCTGCACTAGCCAAGACGGATGGTACCTTTGTGAAACCAGCACGGACTTAGCCTGCCACCTGGTGTGGGATGACTCCCGATTCATTCCATGCCTTTTTTGAGGAAGGGCAACACCTCGGCACCCTCTGTTCCATGCCTGGCGTTTGGCTGAGAGCTGGCAGGGATTGCTCTACGAGTACCTTGCTGAGCCCCAAAAAACGGCAGCAGGTTCTTCAACGTGTCGGATACCTCGAATGATGCAATGCTCGACGTGTCATATCGCAAGGAGAGAAACAAACACATGAAACTGATGCGTCAACAAAACTCGGGTGGTGGTTGTGACACATTGGCATCCCTCCACAGCCACCAAAATGAAACAGGCCCCACCAAACTCTAGCACAGGGGGCCTTCCTGCAAGTCGAGTCTGGACATGCGAAAGGACACGTCGCAGAACCAATGAAACCGAGAGTGTAACTCTCCATGCGATCTGTCGCCAGAAACGAGGAGTGAGTCAAACGACGAGTCTCGTCTCCTTGCCGCCCTCTTCGTAGCCGTAGGGGTTGTTGCTCTGCCACTTCCAGGCGCTGTTGCACATCTCCTGACACATCCACCGGTTTTATGCTGGACCCAAAACCGCAAAAACGGTTCGCCTGACCTCCAAGAAAGAATCGATTCCTCTGGCAGCCGTCAGTCTGGTTCATTCTGAGTGAGATTGCCTGAGACCCTGCGGATCATGCAAGAGGCTGCAAGAGAGCGCAACCCAAGGCCGTACAGAAAGCAGTGACAGCCAGCAAAGGTGAGCACCAAGGGTCCTGCAACCCCCTCTTGGTCTGCCAGTCGAAGTCTGCTTTTGCCTCAGCCAGGTATTGCAGTCTTTAGTCCGAACTTGAAACTTGCCCCGGATGCGCGGAAGAGAAACGGGCCAAGGACAAGCCTTGATTCGCCTGCCACCGCTAGGCTCGGAGTCGGCTTTTGGCTTGCTGTGCTCTGGGCGTTGTGGGCATATAGTTATTTGTGGACGGGCAAGCCTAAGATGGTGATCAGACTCAACGGTGAGTCAACATGGGCGTGGGATCACCACAGTGACCAACCCTTGACAGAATGAGAGCCATGGGGACACTCAGTCAATCCACAAAGGCGTCAATCCCGTCAATCCCCACTTGCTGAATCATTCAAAGTTCAAAGCCTTCAAAGCCTTCAAAGCCTTCAAAGCCTTCAATGCCTTCAAAGCCTTCAGCCCTTTGAACTCTGCGAATCCTCCCTTGCAACCTCTCGAACCGAGCTTACAAGTTGTTGCTTGACTCTTAACATAAAAACCCACAGTATACGACACCTGGCGAATCCTCCGAATCGCAAAAGCTTTCCCTGCCTTGCCAGGATTGGCCACCACAGTGCCCAGATCCCCAGGCCGGCGGTCCACCATCTGCAGGGGGAAACCAGCTGAAGGAACTTCTACAGGAGGTAAAACCAAGGATCCCGTAGAATGTCCCGTGGCTGGTTTCGCATGCTCACATAGATAGTTTGTCAGTTGGCTACAAGGTAATCTGTGAATTCCGAGTCAGGCACTTGTCAAGCCTTTCTCACTGCGAGCTAGCGGACTCCGTCTAGTGTACAATATGGGAAAGTGCCGTGGCTTGTCGGCTTGCTAATGGGTCACGCAGTCCTCCCATAGCGTTCCCGTACTCTTGCTGCCCGTAGTCTTCGTAGAAAGAAGACTGATTTTTAGTAAGCGGCATTCAGTCAGCCAGAAGCTTGTTGGCAAGGTCTGCATACATTGTTTCACGCTTAGGTCAACTCGAGAAACGTATCCCTGATCAAATTACGGTGGTGTTCATAACTCTATAGGCACATGCTGCTTTTGTCCTCCCATCTAAATGGGTGGACTGACCTGGGCGAGACAACATCTCCAGCATAGCCATCATCATTTGGACCAGTTTGGGCGCTATTTTTCATAAGCAGCATTGCTTCTTTAGCCCTTCGGAGTTGCTTCGGGCTGGTTTAGGGATGTCAAGCTGGATGCGATGGTTGGAGATTCCGCCCGCCTTCACAATGGGCTGCTAAATTCTGCGTGTCGCTTACTGTGACTGTGACAGATCACAAACTGGTCCCAAGAACCCAACTTGCCCGTCCACCCATCCCAAACCAACCAACCCACTTACCAACCAGCCGCCAGCCCCAAGATACAGCCACACAAAAAAACTTATCCCGACTGAAAGGGCTCAAAAAATGGATTGGAATTCGTCTCAGAGAATAAAATGGCTTTGTCGAAGAAAGGCTTCGATGGTACACCCCGAGAATCACTTTAACAAGCTTCGCAAAACGAGAAAGCAGCCTGACCAAAGCAGTCCACTCGACTTGCGTGAGACGGCGAACCGGACCGGGCCTTGTATGGGATCTTCTTGCCGCATGCCTCCTGGAAAGGGTTGAGCTCTTTCATTTGTGGCAGTTGCTGTACCCTCCAACTCACAGTGGACAGGAAGGAATCCACTGCAATGGGCTTCCAAAACTGGGCGATCAGAACGAGCATCCGAGGTGGGCTGGACCTCTTACTCCAACCGAACATCTCTGCGATGCCTCAAAGGCCTTGACCATGTCCAGCACCTCAGCTGCATTAGGCACGGGCGCCAAGGAGCCTTGCTCCAATGGAAGGTATGACTCATACTGAAACGCATCTGTGCTCAATTGACATGAACACACACACACACACAGACTACGAATAGTTGGCTCCCTGTGGGTGCTTGACAAAGACAAGACCATAAAACGAGGTTGCTCATGTTAGGACGCCACGGAAACAAATGCGTCGAAACCACGGACTGCTTTGGGGACAGCGTGACAACAGAATCGGAAAAGTTAGGTTTCACTCGGCCGAAGAAATCACATAGACCTACTCAATTGTTCGCTTTTGATAGTATCATACTGGCAAGCCTATAAGCTACAGTACCTTTGCAGGGCTCCGTACTCTAAAATTCAATCGTGAAACAGGCCCAAGCATTGCTCCAAACACGCGGCCAGCACACATTCACGAAAACAGCTCTGAACCAATGAAGGACAAGTGGTCGAAATGCATAGAGTAACCAGCAACCAGAAGAGATATCGCCTGCCGGGAAGAGATTCCACGGGAGGACCCCAACATACCCCAACAAAATACCCAAAAAAAACGGTGTTCCCCGCCGTCGCCATTGACACCATTTGAGGCCAAGGCAGAATACCCTGTGCCAGAGCCCAGGTTGTGAGTGATGCAGCCGCCGTCCATGGTGAAAAGCTGGCCAAGCTCTGCGACAACAAACCACTCGGCGCTCACGTCTTGGCCAAAGCACGTCACCAAATAGGTAAGACGATTGGACAAAGTTGAGTACTCTATTGGCCCTCATTTAGGAGATAAGATGCCACAACCAATGGAAGGCCCTCCCGCTTCTGCCCCGGTCTTACTGCTACTTCATGTCAAGACTGGCACCTCTAAATAGCTGTGAAATCAAGGGGATGCATTCATAAGTGAAGTCTAGCATCTTGGTAGCCAAGCTACAGAACGAGCCTGGGGCGAGCCCGTTTTGGCTTGGCCGTTCTTCGTCATGCCCCAAGGCGGACAACTACTTCCCAATTTGGCATTCGGAAAAGAGCGATTCCCTGACGGGAATCATGAATTTGGATTCTGGATCAACTAGCTTGGACCTCATCAAGTTTAAGGAGACCCGAGGCCGCGTGATTTCAGACGATGTAATGCTTAAGTAGGAAAAGAGGGGCCAAATACACCATGATTCTTCCCTACTCATCAGGTGTTTTGGTCGAACACAGGCTCATTCTAATCGTTGAGCCCCTTGTTTGGGATTGGCCCTGGTCCAACGATCCGCGTCGCCTTCTGAAGCGCGCAAATGTGGCCCTCGGCCAGATCATCCACGTGGATGTAATCCTCGACAGAAGCCATGGACTCATTTGTGCCAAGGAAACCAGCGCACCTGAAAAACCTACAGGAAGCTAGTAAAAGCCAGCTAAGACGGCTTTCCAAATTCCAGTCTTAGCAGGATTGCTTGGTACCAGTGTCAAACATCCCTCTGTGTTTGTTATGGCCGTGTTTCCCTGCATGAAGCTCGTACAGTGGTGGCCCAAATCTCATGTGTCATGCTTGCAGGAACCCCCTCAAGGGTTGTCTCAAATCCCGAGAGTCGGCGACCATTGACGGCAAGAAACACAAGGGGGTTGGAAGCTCTGGACTGGAGGCATCGACATACGTTCTTTTCACAGCTCAAAGCTGTTGGTATTCCAGGGAGAGTGTGTGAAAGTCTGAGGGGGCCGTTGTGAACATCAAAAAGGTCAAGAACAGTCCGTTAAGCCCATTGTGTTTCAAACCTCGTGCAGCCCCTACACCAACCAGCACTGCAAGCCTGAAAAGTTAACAACTCAAAATAATGCCTTACTCCGCGGCCACGAACTGGGCAGCTGGCACGAACACCTGTACCATCGTGCGTGGAGTAGTCACTCCTGGAAGCAAACAGCATTGCGAAATCATCTCAGCCCAATGCGAGCAAGAAACACTGTCAGCTTCCACATGACTGCGTTCTATGATTCAATTGCTAATTTCATCCACCAGGCCAGGGAAAACAAGACAGGCTCAGGCCACCACAGTAAGCGGTGAAATGCAACATCGCTATTGTGGACAATTTCGGAGACGGTGACTTTGGCGTATACTGCAAATCAGCGGCGGAGATCGCAACAGAATGGCAAGTCACGACTGTGCATGCAGCTGCCAGCTGTAGCATGACTTCTTAGATCAAGATATCCGAAACCCCAGGTGCTGCTCACTGTCAAAGGCGCGGAACACCGGCGCATGTTCGGCCTAAAGGTTGAACCTTGCCTATTCTTTGCCGCGGTGGCGGCACTTGCCCTGTCTGGGCGTTTCACTGGACAACCCAGGTTGAACCGGGGTTCCGCTTAATGCTCCCCAAACCCACAGGAAAGTTGATCAACATGGGTCCGAAGGGTGATGTTTAAGCCGAGGAAATATAGGGGCCTGACAAAGGTCCATCAGGCAGTGATGCTGAGATCGCCGCCCGAACACGCTGAGGGCTTCTCTACGGCCCACAGCGACCTGGAGGGCATGGCAACCGGCGTTCAATGTTCAAGTCGCAAATGACGAGCAATGGAGGGCATATCGAAAGTATTTCAGAGTCAGAGTCATTTGCGAGTCCCCCGTTTTGCTAAGTTCCCCCATGTCCTCGCCAAATGAACCTTGTTATCTCGGACATATCGTCCAAGGCTCATGTATGACTTGGTCCTCGCTGCTTTCTCTGTCAAGGTCAACCAGGAAAGGGCCAGATTTGACAGCGGCCATGTCAAGGGATGGGCCGAAGATGCCAGGCTCTCTGTGAAGGACCTCATTACGCACACCGTGACATGGAAAAGCCAGCCTGCTGAACAAAGGGCATGAGGTTGTTGGGCGGGCCGTGAGGGTTCTCGCCGATCCTCGCAGGCCAAGGCATAAGAGACTACTGGAGCATGTCTGCTCGTGTTGGCCACAAACCTCTTGGAACAGCGCCACTTGCTCAGATCGCTGTGTCAAAAGGTACCCATGGCAACGCCTCAGAAACGGCCAGGAACCAGAGCCCAGGGTGGCCTTTGGACCCGTGTCCTGCCACTGGGATGAGCCTGGCATGGCCAGCACCGAGCCGGTGCGCGCACGGAGCAAGCCACAAGGAAATGGCAACAGAAGGAATGCTTCTGAAGCCCGGCCCGTCAGCCAAAATGCGCAAAAGCTGGGTTCTTGGAAAGGTCGAGAGGTCTGCTTGGGACTAAGTGAGTCCAAACGCGTGCAGGTGAGCTGGCCCCCTTGCTGGATTGTGAACCATGGAGGGGCTCTTGAGTGGGACACGTTCCCATGTCACAAGCCAGGGCCATGCTGGCTGGTGGGAGGTTAAATCGCACCGGTCTGGCCGTTCAAACTGTGTCGGCAGCACGCCCACCGGGTTGAAATACCGAAGGATGGACATCTCAGCGTGGCAATGCACTATGTTTTACGATGTTTGTCTATGCCCGTTTTCGGAGCCAATTGCAAACAAATCAAAATGTCATCCGGGGCACTCTCCGCCATTTAAGGGAGTAGGAAGGTACTTCATTCGTGAACAATGCTTGAAAGAACCAACTCAACAGACCAAATTGAAGGCTTGCCTGAATCAAGCAATTTCAGAGGGAATACCTAGGCAAACCATCCATGGCTGATAGTTAGTTGTCTTTTTCTTGCTTGAGGATGTTCTTGTTTCTCGCATGTTCCAGGTGGCCTGAGGGTGGGATTTAGAGTGGGTTTAGGATCCGATTAGGGTCGGCTCAAAATGGGTGAGTTTAGCGCTGGTCTATATATAGGATGGGTTTAGGCTTGCTGCGGGGTTGCTTTGGGGTGAGTTTAGGGTTGGTGTACGCCAACCATCCGCAAAAGCCGCAATAGCGGCCAAAAGACACCAAAAGCCATGAAAACCCAAAGATCCAAAGGGGAAAAACACCAGATCTGCCAACCAACCCCAAAACTAATTCCGAACTTGAGGAGCGGGTGAACGAAAGCTAGCAGTTGTTGCATGAGATGGGTCGGTGACAGAGTGGATTCATGGGTAGCTTGTGTACAACGAGAGGCCCGGCAAGATTCGTAGGATGCGACACGCAAACGCACATGGTGGCGTGGCAAACCTTGAAAAATGAAAACAACAAGAGGCGTCAGAAGCTGTCTTAAAGCACCTCTGGGTTCTGCATGCTGCGTGTGCAAAGATTCTTGCGAGGTGAAGAAGACTGAGGTCTCAAATGAACAAGCTGAATCGGTGGAACATGTAAAAGTTCGTAGCACCAAGTCCAAAACGGGCAAACCGAGACTGCTGAACACTGAGCCACTGCCCGGGGGGGGGATGGACCAGGGAGGAATCGAGCCTGAAACCGGGGGGGGGGGGGAGGCGGGGGGGGGGTCTAAATAATTGATGTTTTTCAATCTTTTCGGCTCAAATAATTGAAAAAATCAATCTTTCGGCATTTGAGCCCCTTACCTTGCTTACGCAAGGAGAAACTTCAGCTAGCTAAAGCTAGCTTTCGTGAACAGAACAGCACAAACACTTGCACCAAATGGCCCTCCTTGCAAAAATTGGAGACCCATCACAGAATGGCCCAATAGGCGGTTTGCTTCAGGCTTCCTTGAACACACCATCCAATGGGAACCACGGATCAACCGACCGCTGTTGATTTATTGGGTGGTTGTGTGTCTGTGTGTCACGAAGTTTCTATCCGAATCCATCAACTGTCTGGGGGAACACCCCTGCGTGAATCAACGGGCGATCAACCTTGGTTGGCCCACCGGGTATGCTGGAAGGGTCCCCTGTACAACCCGCTGAAACAACACCCGGCTCAAAGGAAGGTGATATTTAAAACACACCGCCACAAACAGAAATATGGGTAGCGGATGGTTTCCTTTTTGGTGTCCCGTTCCCACACCTGCGTAGGGAACCGCGGGTGTTCGGCGTCCAAATTTCGCCAAGGCTCCGAGAAGGAGGGGTTCGCCACCACAAAGTCCCGCAAGATCTGCCACGTCTTGATACTTGAAGCCCAGTGCCTACTTACATGTGAAGGCTCCAACGGTAACTATAAAGCACAGTCTCTAGATCGGGAATCCTAAATGTTGATTTCGACTGCGCAGGGTCGCACGAATTGGTCCACACGGAGCAACCACTGTTACCGAACGAAGCTCTCGCCAGCGCGCCAAATTTGGAGTTCCAAGAGCTCGCTTTTCGTGACAGGTGCAGTTCTTCGTGGACGTTCAAAAAGCCGTGGCGGGCGCGGTAATTCATGTTGCGTGGCAAACAGAACAGATTCTCATCTTGAGCGCTCCATTCGTGAGACTGTTGCCTAGTTGTTGGATTTGTGCATGTTGATGAGCTCGCGTGGCAGGCTCACTACGATTGAAGCCTCTTGTGAATCTCGCTCCTGGCCTACGTCTATGTAAAAGTCACCCCAAGTTGTCAAAATGCACTCGTCGTTGCGGGCGCAGTACTTGGCAACTTTACAACTTTCGCTCAAGTTACAGCGTTTGGCAAGCATCGGATCATGCTCGCTGCGCCGCGGAGCTCATTCTCACACCGTAAGCTTGACCCTTTCGACATGTGGCGCGTGTCGGATCGCTCTTGTGGCGGCGCGGCGCTGATTTTGATATTGCTCGCTCACGACAGTTTATTTGGTTTCTGGCTCGGTGCGGTTTCTGATGGATATCGCTTGCGTATGCCTTTGCGTGCGTTGCGTGCGTAAGCAAGAGATCCCATCCAGAGATCTTATGCGAATGTGTGCAGAAAACAGTTCGCTTCACTTCCTGCCTCTAACGTGCATGTTCCATCGGGTTCCTGTTCACCACTGCTTGGGCTCGCTTGCCGGGATATAGGAGAAGTCGCTCCCGGCCACGTTTCTGGTCATCCTACTCCCAGAACCTCCCTGGGCTTTGAGGACCTTCTCTAAGTTAAGTAAAACTTGCGCGACACTTTCAAATGGGTTCCTTGTTGGGATTTAGAATGAACTGAAAAGCAATCCTGGGTTTTGACACATACCCAGTTCTCTTGCGGGCACTGCAAAAAGAGGGAACCGCCTTGCGGTGATCATTTTAATCTTTGGCGGGGGCCAGGTTGCACAAGACTTAAGAACAAGCACGTGCCACGAACAACTGGGCTTTTACAAAGATGCGTAAAACTGGTAGCTCAGGATCAGTTCTAAAGATCTGCAAACTGCCTGGATCCAGCATAGTCCAATGCAGAAACAAACATCGCATCAAATCTGTTGGGATGAGCTGAACCCAGACCCGCTGAGCGAATCTGCAAACAACAGTAGAATACCGTGCTTCGAAGGCCGTGAAGGGTGTTAGGTGCTCACATGAAGAGCTGAGATCAACTTGCCATCGTTGATATCCTGTTTCTGTTTTTTCTCACAGGGGATTGTCACAAACACACATCACACATAACACCATGGCTCATGTCCACTCGCACCAATAGTTCCCACGAGGACCATGGTAAAAACTGTTCATTTTGAAGCAGGTCAGTGCAGCTTCTGCACAGTTGGGCAGAAAAGGCGGGTGATCGCACAGCCTGCCTGCTCAATCATGAACTTGGTCCACCCATATGGGTTAGTGCCTAGGAGCAACTTGCGAGGAAGTGCTGCACTAAGGGAGGGCCTTGGATAAACGAAACCACAATTGGCTAGAGTATATAGCCGGCTGCAAGGGAGATGGAGGGTCCGATCCTAATCTATCATCCATTGGAGAACCACCACAAAGGGCACCCCTGTTCCAAGGCAGCAATTCTCTTTTAACTGCCCACTTTCTCGCTTCGTTCTCTGCTTGTTCTCTCCATACCTTTATCGGCGCACTGGCTATTCGTGCAAGCCCGGATTGCGACATGACTGTCCTCCGGTTGATAGGAATTCCGCCAAGCCGGCGGAGCTTCCTGGCGCCTGTATCTAAGGGTGGAAGCACATACCCCTTGTTCATACCCCTTGGCTTCCTTGGTTTCCAGCCCACTTTATATTGGGTATGAGAGGGGTATGAACATCAGCAGGCCTTTTGGGTTCATTTGTCCAAGGTGTATGTATAAGGGGTATGTACCTTGGCACCCCTGCTGTATGGCTCAAAAAAAAGGCATGCCCGAGGGCTGCAAACGCTTTCACACTGCGGGAAGAAGCGCTGTGAGACCAATGGAAGGATCCTGTGGAGAATTCCGGCCACTATCCATCATTCCTTGCATACCAGCAAGATACCATTCAGTGCCCAAAAAGGCGGTCAAGATGGCCAAGATGAAGGAATGATCAAACATATCATACACAACCTTATTGGCTTGATCCACTGTAGAAGCCTCCGTCAACTCAGGATACAATCGATACCAGCCCATTTGATGGCTGGTCATGAGCACAGCGACCCAGAACCGTTGAAAGGCAATGGTCTGCATATATCCCACCAGTCGAAGGACCCAGAACTTGTGTTTAGGGATATCTCGTCGAATGGCATTCTTCCAGGCGTAGTAAATGCAGTAGAAGGAGGCAACAGCCAAGCACAGACTGACCATAAGGATGACGTTGGAGTGTGAGGTCAAGGCCAAGTTAACACCCGTTCCGGTTTGGAGAAAGGCACAGACCAGGAGACAGCGTCCCAGAATGCGATGAAGTTTCTTGTCGAAGGCATGTCGGACTTGGGGAATGAGCTGAAGGAAGTATAAATTCCACCAAAAGATGGCACCCAAGACATGCGGCAAAAAGTAGCAGTAGCGAAGGGAAAAGTAGGTCCCGTTGATTTGACCGAAGGCGGTCGAATTGTAGAGCTCCGTCATGACGTAGTGCTCGCGATTGTATTCCAGGGCATGTTTTTGGTCCCAGAAGTGAACGCCAAAGAGTCGACCCAGTGAGAACGTCCAACTGCAGAAATACAGTATTGCCATCCAGGCGATGACAAATTTGGTGCGTCCTTCCATGGCTTGGCGCGCTTGGATCTCTGGATAGGATCGAAGGTGCGAATACTGATGCTGTGTTGTTGTGCTGCTGTTGTTGCTTATAAAAGCACAACAGACTCTCTCCATCGTCCTTCATGGGCGTTGTGACGGCTGCGGTGCTTCACCATTCTCGAAGCTGAACAAGTCACTCACAATTCAAAGAGTGCTGATCTCCGGGGATCAGCCTCCTTTCTTGGACTTCACGCAGCCTCTTGGTAAATGCGCACGATGTGTATTGTTTTAGCACTAGTCTAGGGGGTTCGACATGTTGGGACCTGTATCCAGCCACACTTTGGAAGTCAAACCATCCCCGGCTGCACGCTCGACAAGCATCACAAAAAATCAACTGCACTTGCAGAATCATTTGTCAACCTCGCCCTTCACATCACAATGGCATCGTACTGCTGATATGATGTGAAAGCTGCTTCCTCTTGAAGCCAAACTGGCCCAGCTAGCCGCCTCCCAGGCTCCCCTGTGAGCACCGCAGCCAATCCAAAGAGAAGCTCCGAAATTGAGGGACCCCCCGCTATTTAAGGAAACCGTAAGCCATCCAGCCCTCCTATCTGAGAAGAACATTCTCGCTTCAACGGTTCCATCCCCAACTGGTGCGGTCTGGCGCCTGTGTCCAGCGGGTTTTCGGACAGCTGAGGGCCCGGCAGCCCAAGGGCCGCTGCTCGTCGATGGGCTCCTCGCACGGCCTTCGAGGCGCACAGGTGCGTTGTATCTGCAAGGGGGGGTGAACCACCAGAAAGAGATACTTTTTCCCCCACCCGACAGGAAGGGGTTGTTAGATTTTATGTTGTAATCCGCGTCTGCGATGCTTCTACACCACGCCCCCGCCCAGTATCCCGCCAGAGCAGCTCGCCAGTGGATCCCGCCAAGTATCCCGACAGAGCAGCTGGCCAGTAAATCCCGCCGAGTATCGGCTCGCCAGTGGATCCCGTCAAGTATCCCGCCAGCGCTGCTCGCCAGCGGACCCTGCCCAGTATCCCGCCAGAGTTGCTGACCAGTGGATCCCGCCGAGTATCCCACCAGAGCAGCTCGCCAGTAAATCCCGCCGAGTATCCCGCCAGAGCGGCTCGCCAGTGGATCCCGTCAAGTATCCCGCCAGAGCTGCTCGCCAGCGGACCCCGCCCAGTATCCCGCCAGAGTTGCTGGCCAGTGGATCCCGCCGAGTATCCCACCACAGCAGCTCGCCAGTAAATCCCGCCGAGTATCCGCCAGAGCGGCTCGCCAGTGGATCCCGCCAAGTATCCCGCCAGAGCTGCTCGCCAGCGGACCCCGCCCAGTATCCCGCCAGAGTTGCTGGCCAGTGGATCCCGCCGAGTATCCTACCACAGCAGCCCGCCAGCGGATCCCGCTGAGTATCCCAGAGTTGCTCGCCAGGATCCCGCCGAGTATCCCGCTGAGTATCCAACCCCTTGTCGGTGGATCCTGCCGAGTATCCGGCTGCTGCCTTCGTGTTTTGAGTGTACCCTGAGGCTCGGAAAGGGTGATGCTTTTGTGCTGCTTTGAGCTGCGAATAAGCAACTTCGTTTAATCCCCCGTCGGGATTCTTTTTGGAAGGGGCTTGACTTTTGTTAGCGGAACCGATGTTTGAGTTCTCGAGATCGGCTCGCAGACAAGCGGAGTTTGACACACAGACAGGTGGATAAGGCTCTCAATGCAAAGCTTGTTGAGCAGTCATACACTCGAAAAACATGCTTGAATTCACACAACCGTGTTCACGGTCGTAAGCTCGTGAGTGGAGGGTGGGGATTGCTCGAAGCGAAGTAATTTTCTTTCTCAGAAGGCGGATCTTCACCAGAAAGGTCGATTTGCTTTGCCTTTGGAGCACCCCCTCCGCCTTGGGTCAGGATTCCCCTCCAGGTTTTCCTTGAACATCACCTCACAAAAAAAAAAAAACGCTACCCTCAAACACACCCATTGCCATCTGTGCCTTGTGTTCCTCAGTCGCCCTTTGGGGGAATGACACGCCACTCTCACCCTACCTCCTCTGGAAACTGATTCGGAAGCTCCTCGGAACACCTCCAACCCACCGATCTGGCCGAATCTGACCCATCGATTGGGCAACTCTAATTGGTATATAACCAAGAGAAATGTGTATTTCGCAGCGCCCCATAGAAACGAACGAAACCGTGACAACAAAAATGTGGTGGGAACGCAGTGAACGCAAGGCGGCCTCTGATATTATCGTTGTGTTTCTTCAGAAAAGGAGCTTGAAGCGATCAATGGGGGCAATCGTGTTTTTGCACAGGGTTGATGCCCATCCTCTGTGACACAGTCGCCCTGTTCATTGTTGTCACTTCAATGAGTGAAGCGCTCATTGTCAAGGAGTGAAGCTGCTCATTGTGTTTGTTTGTCTTAATCCGAAAGATGCCCGGTCCGTGGAAGACTAGCTTCTGGCAGCTTGCAGCTGCGTTTCCGAGCCGCACCCCTCGCTGCGACCCAAGCAAACAGCGCGCCTGTATACAGTGGCCGAGGAGGAGAAGACCAAGCGCCTGCGAGCGTGCGGGCCGTGCGAGAAACATACCCAAGTCTGACTCGAGGGTCTGACAGTCCTTAATGCGTGGGCAGGGAAACAGTCAGTCCCAAAGGTAGCGCCACTTGCAATGCGTAGAGTACATCCACGCGCAACACTGCATCACTGAGCTATTCGTGAGCTCTGGCAACAGCAATATTCGAAACTAAGCCATACCTCAACATGCATTCGGTGTCTTAGCCCTGATCTGGCAAATATGCCATATCATGTACTGTATGCTCTGCGACTCTCCGGCAAAAGGGCAATCTTTCAGGTGCGGACATGGGCCTCAAGCCAGCCGCTTTTTAACTGACCCAAACGCGCATCCGTGCCAGCGGATGTAGCGACAGCCAGCCCTGTGAATACCGGGGTCCCGGGATTTCACCCTTGTTCAATTGCTTCCACGCGTGCCAGCTTGCTCCGCCCTCATGCCCAGGTGAATCCGTGAGTGAAGTGGTACGGTCAAAACCAGTCGGACCCTCGAAATGAGTTCTATGTCTTCCCGTTGAAACCAAGCCGAAAAGGGGGTCCTCTTTGGTACAAGGGTGATCTTCCGTGCTCACTCCAGCACGTCACCCAAAGCTGACAGCATCGATCGCAGGTGCCGCCGCTTCTCCTGACGGATTCGACGTCGGCTGGCGATTTGGCGCCTGCTGGTATCCCAAATTCTCCTTGGGTGTCTCCCAAAATAGCGCCCTCGGAATTGCCAGGCCACAAGGATGCAAGGAAGGGGCAAGCCAAGGGCCAACGCGGTTTCTGCCCGGGATAGGCCAACCCCTGACTTCAAGATGTATCAACGACATCCTTTCAGTTTCCTTTCAAAAGGGGCCAGGGCAACTGGCTGCCATAAAGCGGCAATAACTCCCCACCAACCATTGGGGTTGCCTTGGATTGACCCTCTAGCCCCTGAAGCACCCAAACTGTTGGGCACCCAAAAGAAATCTCACTACAGCTGCAAGTGGTGTTCGGTATTCTTCCGGGTGCTGCCCTGTCTCTTGCACGGAAGCGTCTATCTTTACCGGTCGTCACCATGTCCATCCGAACCAACTCGTGCGAGGAATGAGTCTTCTGCACTGACTAAACGGGTTTAAGGACACGTACTACACTGAACAGACACCTTCATCATAGGCCGTTTCTCATTTGCCTCACGGAGGAGTGAGCTCGCTGTCAAACAAGTCCGGACGAAATCACTACCGACTTATGTGTTGAAACTACACGAAGTCGAAAAGTGTAGTACTCAAACGTTATTGTTCTAGATTCACCAACAAGGTGACCCGAAGGTAAGTTCCGCATCCACATCCAGTCCTTCTGGTCTTCCAATGCCTTCCAGTCGCTTTCCCTCACCGTGGCCACGCGCAGGCCGTTCTTGTGCAAGATCCGCCGCCTGGCCACCCAAATCCTTCACGTCTTGAAAAACATCCCGGTCGGCACTCTTTACGACCTCAGGCAACCAGAAGGGAAACCAAGTGAAGGACAACACAAAAGGAGTCGGCGCACTGGTGGCGTCCCCAGGAGCCTTCCTCGAAGGCAAGCCCCTTCGCAATGCCAAGATAAGCTTCGGAGAAGGCGAAGTCAGCTGCTCAGAAGGGCTCAACACCTTCTACGAAGCCTTGCAGAAGGTGCCTCCGAAGGATTCTGGTCTTGAGAAGTGTGGGATTAGGCTTCTGAGATGATTCAACGCTGACTCCCATTGCTTTGCCCTGACAAACGAAAGCCAGAAAAGGACATAGTGAGACATGTTGCTTGGTATTGCATTCCACCTGATGCGTACCATGAAACCAAAAACAGCCCGACAGTCTACAAATGAAACGCGCTCTTTTTCAGCAGCCACTCAGCCAACTCGAAGTGCCATTTCGAGTAGCTCAGAAACCTGGGTTCTTGATCCTGCGCCGCTCACTCGGGAGTCAACGAGGTCAGACCTTCGCGGCGAGCTCGAGACTTCAAAGCTCGCTGGAGCTCTTTCCGGTGAACTCCTGCAGTGACCTGGTCCACGACACGATTCGCACCAGCCCAATGCAACGCAAAAGGTAAGGCAGGTTAGAAATGACATTTATCAGTACCAGAGGCCAGGATGGCCGGTGCATCTTGATCTAACTAACGCCTTTGCTACTTTATGTAAATGATGCTGCTTCTCCCACCTATACACCCACACAACCTGCCACCAATACGCCTTTCCTGTCTGGCAGGTTCCGCCATGGAAGGAATACGTCAACCGCATTGCGACAACAAAAAGGGCCGGAAAAACAGACCCCCCAATCTCAACTGGCTTCTAGGAGAACCCACAAAGGAAAAATCACATGTTCAGGGTGTTTCTTGGAGACAACCCTTGCGCCCACCCAGGGAAAACGTGTAGGCAAAATCAGCCCGTCCCCCCCTCCCATGCAATAATTGGGGTGGCTACGTGGAGGATCCATAGCAATCCCAGTGATTGCATTTACCAGTGCCAAACCAAAGGAACCGCCCTTCAAGCACCAAAGGCAACATTAATCTGCTTACTTACTGTGCCACACCCGACATGGACAGGGAAAACCAATCGGCGGTTTTCGCGTTTCTCAACACTGAAACCCCAACTGTCCCATCAAGAACATCACAAGCACCGCCAACTACTCCAACGTGTCCTATATTTGGTATACTGCAGGTTTTTTGGTTAGGGATACCCTTTTTGAGGGCCTTATGATTATGTTGTTACTATAGTTGTTCAATGTTGATCCTTTTTTAAGTCTATATTATCTATTGTTTATGTGTATATACATAAATATGTACATAAACATATAAATACATAGTCAAAGAAAAACAACAGAAAAACAAGAAACGGACGCCAAACGCCCATCCCAGCGGCCTGTGCCGCTTCAGCTTCCGCAGCTTCTCCGCCGGCACCTCCCGCCAGCCCGGCTCCGCGGTCAGCGCCGCCAGCGCCGCGGGCTCCGGGGGCGTGTGGCTGTCCGCCATGGCGCGGAAGGCCTGCCACAGGTAGCACCAGGTGTCCTGGCCGCTGAAAACCCCCCAGGATGGTTTTTCTTAGTACATTTATGAGTCTTTCTGCACTCGGCACGACCCGCTAAAGGTTGGAGGAAAAAACATCTGGCTTGAGGCCAACAACCTGGGCCCGGGATTCTTCATTTTTTTAGTTGTTTACAGGTGAGTTTCAGGCCAACAACATCAGTTCTGGCCCAAGGGAAAGGACCAGATGTGTGCCATAGATTTTGAAACAAAAAGGCCCGGCTGTTTTGAGGGAGGGGTGTTTGTAATTAAAGTGATTGAGGCCAACAACATCAGTTGCAAAGGGCCAAAGCATTTAAACGCTAGGACTTAAAAAGGTTGGTTTGAGGGGGGATGTTTTGAGCAAAGTCAAACACACTGAAGGAAACAAATGGTGAGTTGGGAGTCAATTGTGGAAGGGGAAGCAGAACTGAAAGACTGGACAATCCACCAAGGCAACAGGGACGTACTGATGAGAGCTACTGTGTTGGGGCATCGAAAGAAAAAACCAAGTCCAAAACAGGATCAAATCTGACTGCGTGCATTGTCTCTTTTGGCAATACCATGGGTTTGTGGTCCATCAGTTCCCCCCGCGCAGCTTGTCTAGGTCTCCGCCCCTTTCAACTCTGCTCAGCCTGACCCGTCCCATGACCAGGCACGGGGCCATCCATTGACTCATGCTGCAAATGGCCATGATATTTTTATGCGTAGGTCCTGAAATGATCAAATCCCCCAACGGTTGGTTGTTTTGCCTTTGAAAACCGCCGGAAAGGGTGGTCTCAATTGTTTGACAGCCCCGTGTACAGAAACGTGCAGTCAATTATTTGTGACTGTTGAGTGCCAACAATCATTGTGAATGATTTAGGCACCAGGAGCCATAGCCCTGCTTTGGCTCCAAATGAGTACTTTAAGTTTTCTCGGCACAGGGCAAACCATGAAGAGTTGCTTGCTGAACCTTTCTCTCTCTCTCTCTCTCTCTCCCTCCCTCCCTCCCTTGACTCTCGTTGCGCACCAACAGCCCCTCCTTGACCAGAACTTGCCCTCTCTGCAACACCCCACCTTGCTGGTCACACATCAACCGCTTGTGGCAAGAAAAGGCCTTTCGGGCAACTCTGCCCATCGCGCGAATCTTAATACTCAGAAACTGATGTGCTCAATGTGCCAAAGGGGCTTCTGAATAGAACAAATAAACTGTGGGTAAACGACGGACGTATATATATATATATATACATATATATATATATATATATAATAAATAGAGAGAACCCATATCATCACTAGTTCATAATTATGTTCGATCGATGTCGTCCAAATCAAAAACACACACACACACAAAAAAAAAAACACATCTCATCTTCCCCTCTTCCGCTGGCTCCTGGCGCCTGACCCGCTCTTTGAAGCGCCGGAAGCCCTGCGCCGCGATGCGCTCCGCCAGGTCCGGGTGGGCCTCCAGCCACCGCAGAGTCGGCACCAGGTCAGACAGGCCCTGCCTCATGAGGCTCCAAAAGGAAAATGGACGGGCGCCGGCTCAAAAAGGCGGGGAAAACCGCAGGTCTATGCTTGTTGGGTTCGAATCCGCCAAGAAAAGGAAGAAGGAAGGTTCAACATTGTCTACAATGCAGTTGAGTGGAGGACCTCAGAACGAACCACGAATGGAGACAACATGTCTAACATGTTTTACTTTGGTTGCAAGGGACAATTGATGTTCTAGGGAAATTGGCTCAAACCTCTTTACTACTTTGTTGGTTTGAAGGAACAAGCGACACGTTCGATTTCATCGAAGGTCGTGCAAGGTCCGGGTCTGGCCAAGCCGCGAGACCGGCACGAAGTGCTCCCAGGGGGTGAGCCACTCCAAGATCAGTTCGTGGTCTGCGCCCTCCTGCGACAAAGCCCAAAGCCGAGAGCCGAAGTTTGAGCGAGGGAAACCGACTGGGGCATGCCAAGTGTGTACTGAACTGTAGGAAAAATAAAACCGCCCAAGTACAAAGCGGGTCGAAAGGGAGCCCTATTACAACGTTGGTCCTGATTTTTTGTCCCCACCCCTCACGAATGGCCAAGCCTCTGGTTTTAATGTTTTATCTTGCAACAAGGTCAGAATGGGGTGCAGCGTCCAACAGCTAGATGGAGCCTCTTCTGACTTTCTGCGACGTAGACGGTAACTCGCCCCGCGTGTTTCAGGGCGTGCCAGGCAATTTCTGCCGCACATGTCGAAGAGCGCGAAGCCGCTAGGGCTTGGGCTCCTGCAGCAGCAGCAGCGACCCGGTGGCCAGCCTGCAGCTTGCCCAGTGAAATGGCGCGCCTTTTTGGCTGATTGGTTGCAAAGGGGAACCCACAAGGAACCTGTGCGTTTTGTTGCTTGACTTTGAAGGGAAACTCGCTTGATAACAAGCAGAACTGGGCACTGACTCTCGTGGCTGGCTGATTTTCCAAGGAATCCTCAGGACAAATCCGAACGTCACAGCCATCATAGGACACAACGCCACCTGCGCATGGACTCCATTCGCCGATTGCCAGGGCACATCTCCACCAGGCGCCATGAGGACAGCACCGCAGCCACGTTAATGAGATACCGATACCTGGTTGGTTGTACGCATCGGTGAAATGGTATATATATATATATGTATATATATATGTATGTATATATGTATATCTATATATATATATATACATATGGGACAAATACTTTTGAGGTAACCCGCCCAAATGATATCATGCCAACACGGTTGACCACCTTCTGATTGGCCATGCAAAACAACGCCAATTCTAGGGGGAACCCTTCTGATTGGCGAAGGGAATTGCGACTAAGAGATTCATGACCATACTCAATTTGTGGGGATACCTGCATGTTTTCTTATTGCATGATCAAAGCAGCCAGCGACACTACCAGAGGGTGTTGGGTTTGGAACCGCCGACCTGGGCATCTGCTGCTGGGACTTCTCGTGCTTCACCGTGCCCCCAAGCTGCTGCACCAGCGCCTGGACCCGGGACCTCAGGCGCGGAAATGGAAACCGGCCTCCCAGTTGATAGAAAACAGGAACCCCCCTTTGAATCTTGACCAGAAAAAGGGGAACCCGCCAGAGAAAAGGGGGATAAGAATGCATTGGAAAGTTTTAGAGAGAGAGAGAGAGAGCAAGCACCAAAGACAAAGAGGAAGAGGGTGAAACAAAACAACTGGGGAATCGGGAAGGAACGGAACCGGTTGACATGAACCTCGATTGGCCGCCACCTTCGATTTCCTGCTTGTTTCGTCCGCTTCACCTAGGTGTCCTTTTGCAAAACTTGATGGATTTCACAGGCGGTTGATTAGAACCAAACTGACCACGGCGACCCAATAAGTTTCCAAGCAAACTAACTTAGCATGTACCTATTATGTGTCGGGGAGCTCCATGAACGTGTGCCACCAAACAACGGAACTTTAAAAAAATCAAGCATGTGCCAACAGTGTAAAACCACAAACTCACAAGTTCAACCTTGGACAAAAATCTTTCACATCCTTTGCCCTTGTCTTTAAAGGAGTCATAACCTGATGGAGTAGCCCGATTTTGCCCCAACCCTGCCTTCCAGCGATGCGGTACATCTCTCGATCCTCGTGCGGGCACACGGAGATTTCAGCATGTTTCTCTTGTACTCCAACGTGTCAGGATATAGGTTCGCTGCGAGCTAACGCAAACAAGGAAGCTGCTAAATGAATCCTTGTAGGTCTCGTGTGTTGTTTGAGCAAGATGACAACAATGATGCAATCGCACGCTTGCACACAATCAAAAAGCACACAAGAGTTGCAGCTGGGATGAAAAGTCATCATTTGCGGTCCTGCCTCTTGACGGTCAAGTCTATGTGATCTGTGTTGGGCGTTGGAGGTAAAACTGTTGGGCGTTAGAGGTGAAACAACTTTGTTTCCGGAAGGCCAAAAGCCAAACCTGTGTGTCAAATCAAAGACACGCCGAGTGCAGGCGAGTCTCTACATTGGTAATGCCCACATCAAAGAGATCCTGGTTCTCCTTCGCCAGCTTCATGAGTCTCACCTACCGTTTCCCATGGAAAAAGCATGGTCCTGGCTTGCTTATTGCTTTATTTTCAAGAGAAGTCCAGAATCCAATCAGAAAAATGACAACTCCGACAACTCCATGTTGGATTGGATGGCTTCAAAGGGAACACACATGGAAAAGGACAATACAATGCCACTGGGCAACTGGGTCACCCTGGGCAAAGTGCCGATATCCTCCAGCGCGAACAAATCCGGCGCAGAAAGTGCCCCACGCCAGAACCTCGCTCAACCACAGGATGCGTTTGGTTGGACAACATCGAACGCACAGGGGTCCTTCTCCGCCTCGGAGGCATCACACCATTCAGTTTCGGGGCCAAGCTCCCCCACAAGAAAACGAAGCCAGCCTCCCCCAACAGAAAAAGAAGAAACCGAAGCCCGCTGAGTTGAACTGGCGGCCACTGGGCCGGGCGGCAGCTTGGGGATCTTCTCCCCCCACGGCACCAGGTTGCCCTGATTGCCTTCAGGCGAAGCGTGTGCCCGGGGACGCCCCCTCTCCAAAAAGGAAGGGCGGTTTCTTCCATAGGGAACTCAGAAAGGGAGGTCCAGACATCCTAGTTGGTGGATTTTCTTATGGGGTCCCTACTTCGAGGAAACTCTTGAGGGGCCAACATGGGGATCATGTCTGTTTTGCCTCCATGGGGTGGAGCTCTTGCCGCCTATGAGCTTTGCCGGTGCAACTGGCGATACTCTGCCAAAAGATCCCCTCCACTGGTCCGCTCGCTGCGCTAGGCACAGCTCCCTTCTGAAGGGGCTAGACCAAAAGGCGCCGTAAGCTCAAGTTCCGAGCCAGGTGGCCCTCGGAGTCTCCCAGCAGATTCTTGGCATGGGCCTTGAGGGCATTGAGCTGTGGCGAAAAATCGGAGCGAGCGAATTCCGCGGCGCCCAATCGCAAACCCAAACTTTCAGATCCCAAGTTGGACCCTGAGACCCCTTGCTCATTTGGTGGCTCCAAATTAAAGAGCTGGGGTTATGCAGGTGTTGGTCTTTGTTTCTATCCCAGAAGCCCAAACATGGGTACCACTTTTCTGAGCCACAGCCAATTTCTTCATCATGCGTGAGACGCTTCTTTCGCGCCCCATCTCTTGCCGCTTCTAGGCCCTGCCTTCAGCTGAAAGGGATTGGGCAAGGGTACGGTCCAGTGCCCACCGCTGCGCACCCAGTGGAACTGCGGCACTGGGCTCCAGTAGGCCCGGTCTGTGAGCGGCTGATCCCCGGTGTTGAAGAGGAAGACTGTGTCCTGCAGCACCTCTGAGTGTGAAAAACCGCTTGACTACTTGGATGTGCAAGCCTAGGTTGATGTGTATGGTGACATGGGAACGAAGCCCAGCTACCTGTTACAACCTTGGTTAAGAATTGCAACCCGTTGCCTTCTAAGTGGGTTGAACCAAATACCCATGTTGCCATGCAGAAGAAGCTCCCTTGAAGTGGAAAAGGGCCTTCCAGAAACCAAAACCAGTCAGGTTCCAGGCTAGTCCATGAGGTACTCGCTTTTCGGAAGCCTAAAACAAGTCTGTTCCGGTGTTTTGAGAAAAAAGAAAAAAGAAAAAAAGTACCTGGCCTGAAGAGAAACCCCGGGTGTTGCCTTCCACCTGCGGTCTTCCCCAGAAAGTGTCGAGGCGAACAACTGGCGCGTGTCAAACTCAGCCTTTGTGCATTGCTTGCTTTCTGACTTGTTTTACTAGTTTGTCAATACGCCGTGTGCTGTGTGCGTGTGCTCTGGGTGTGTGATGTATCCGGGACCAGACGCGTTGGGCCTTCTTGGTGCCTGCTCTTGCAACAACAGAACTCCCCCAACAGGCGGCCTTCCTGGGCATCCGCTTGGAGCGCACAGGTTAGCAAAACCAACAGGGGCCGCCACGTTAATACATGTGGCTCTCCTGAACATTTTCAACCCTGGAACATCTCCGCTCTGAGAGAGACCTCTTGTTTTGGGGAACTCCTTTTTGCTGCGTGTTGCAAAGGAGTCAGTTGAAGTCACACATCAGCCACTCGAGGAACATGCGCCCATCTTGTTGACACACACTCTCTGGCGGCTAAGGTGCCACCTGCGCCAACTCGGCCACCAATCCCAGTAGTACCTCGGGGCGGAGCTGGTGCAACCAATTCAAAGCTGATTAGACCCGCTAGAGAGTTCCTCCTTAGTGTCACCCTTCCCAAAGGAACCTCTCTTCATGAGCAAGCAGGTCAGGTGATCTTCCGCATTGCCGAAAAGTGAAGTGCAAGGATCCGTGTTTTCCCTTTCGAAGAGGGCCTGGTCGGGTTGCAACCATTTTGGCCACCAGCGCACCTCCACATCCGTCAACCCTTGCAGCAGCGCAGATGCCTCACACTGATCGCTGCTCTGGGAGCAGCAGGTGAAGAAAACCCGCTTTTCCTCAGAAGGAATGGGACAAGCAGCGGACAAACCTGGCTCGACTTGCAGATTAGCTAACATGGAAACCCAAACAGGGGGGCCGCCAAAGGGGAGACTCCTCTAAAACTGGATTCCTGTGGGGTGACTTCAGTTTGTCACATAGGTTACTCAACACTTGGCAAGCTAGAGACAAACCGCACACTCGCGAGGACGGGGATCGCGCAAAGGTGCTCCTATCACATCTAGCTGACCTGTACAGTATGAACTTGTATCCTATCTCACCAACAAAAGCTAGCTCTCCAAAACTAACTGAATAGGAGTGGTCCCTGAGCTGCAACAATGGAGAATGCTGAAGTTACCCCTGTAGAAAGCAAACTGACCACAAACGACAATATCATGTGAAAGTCAAGACCACCTGCAACGGGAAAAAAAGGGCACCCTTTTTTGTTGGTTGAGTTTCAAAAGGGGAACCCTTACCCAAAAAAAGGAGAGAAAAGGGCACCACTGGACAGAGAAAAGGAAGCAGATCCCTCCATCGGATTTCTTGGGCTTCACTCCGGGGCCCTCACGTGGATCGCGCCCAGGAAGGCCTGGGCGCTGCCCCGCTGGCGCTGCAGCTCACAGATGTGCAGCCTCGCTCGAAGGCGACGGTTCCGCAATATGGGTTGCAGGACCAAAGAAAGGCGGCTACCCTCCCACCAACTAACATGGAAGTGCAAAAATGCTCTTTCTGCAGGGGTCTGTGCACTTCCATGTTAGCTGGTGGGAGGGTAAGTTTTTGGATTTGGAAAGGAGACCCTGTCGTTCAAAATCTGGTTGTGACCTTTTTGTGGGCCCCATTTGAGGGTTGCAGTGAAGGAATACCAATCGGAAACCACACATGTCGGACTCCCCCAAGAGGCAAACCCGCACTAGCAATGACGACAAGAAAAGCATCATCGTGAATCCCAATGATGAATGATGGAAATAAGTAATGATACTCTCAGACAAATGACAAGAGAAGGAATAAGCCCACGAGGAAAAATGCGCGCGCATGTGGCAGGGGAAGAGAAAGTCGCAAAAAACATGGCCCTGTGCGTGAATCGGCGTTTTCGGAGATGAGAAAGTCGCAAAAAGCGTGGCGCTGTGCGTGAATTGGCGTCTCCGGAGACGCGAAAGAAGCTAGCCTGTCCGCGGCGTCTGGTCGGAGCGGGCTCGGAGCGGTCTCGGAGCGGTCTCGGCGCCGGGACCATTGGCACGGCAACGCAGAGGTTTCGCAAGGATTGAATTGCGCGGCAGGCGCAGCATTTTGGTGAGGTCGGGTGCAGATTTCGTGGCAGGCGCAGCACTTTCGCAAGGTCAACTTTTTCTCAAAGTTTGAATTGCGTGGCAAGCGCAGCACTTTCAAAAGGTCAGGTGCAGATTTCAAGGCAGGCGCAGCACTTTCGCAAGGTCAAGTGTAGATTTCGTGGCAGGCGCAGCACTTTCGCAAGATCAAGTGCCAAATTCGTGGCAGGCGCAGCACTTTCGCAAGGTCAAGTACAGATTTCGTGGCAGGCGCAGCACTTTCGCAAGGTCAAGCGCCAAATTCGTGGCAGGCGCAGCACTTTCACAAGGTCAAGTACAGATTTCGTGGCAGGCGCAGCACTTTCGCAAGGTCAAGCGCCAAATTCGTGGCAGGCGCAGCACTTTCAAAAGGTCAAGTACAGATTTCGTGGCAGGCGCATCACCTTCGCAAGGTCAAGTGCAGAATTCGTGGCAGGTGCAGCACTTTCGCAGGGTCAAGTAAAGATTTCGTGGCGCACGCAGCACTTTCGTAAGGTCAACTTTCGCAGCCGGGCTCGAAAATCGCAACTTTTAAGTACGAAAGTAGCACGCGAAGTCAACTTTCGCGGCTGGGGCTTGAAAATCGCAACTTTTAAGTACGAAAGTAGTACGCGAAGTCAACTTTCGCAGCTGGGTCTCTAAAATCGCAACTTTTAAGTAAAGAAGTAGTACGTGAAGTCCACTTCCGCAGCTGGGGCTGGAAAATCGCAACTTTTAAGTACGAAAGTAGTACGTGAAGTCCACTTACTTTCGCAGCTGGGCTCGAAAATCGCAACTTTTAAGTACGAAAGTAGTACGCGAAATCAACTTTCGGGGCTTGAATCGCGACTTTTAAGTGCAGATATGATATAGACGGAGAGATAGATAGATCGATAGAAAAAGAGATAGAAAGAGATAGAGAAAGAGACAGAGAGATAGATAGATAGATAGAAAGAAAGAGGGATAGAGAGATAGATAGATAGATAGAAAGAAAGAGAGATAAAGAGATAGATAGATAGAAAGAAAGAGAGATAAATCATAGATAAGATAGATAAGCAGCTAAATAGATAGAAAGGTAAATGGAAAGAAAGAGAGATAGAGAGAGAGATAGATAGATAGAGAGACAAACAGAGATAGATAGATAGATACGCGGGAGATAGATGGAGATAGATAGATAAATAAATGGATAGATAGATAGATAGATAGATAGGAAGATGGATAGAGAAATAGATAGATAGGTAGATAGGTAGATTGATAGAAAAAGAAATAGAGAGATGAATAGAGAGATAGATAAACAAACAGAAGATAGATAGATAGATAGATAGAGAGATAGTTAGATAAATATATAGAAAGAGAGATAGATAGATAGATAGATAGATAGAAAGATAGATAGATAGATAAGCAGATGGATAGAGAAATAGATAGATAGGTAGATAGGTAGATAGATAGATAGATACATAGATAGAGAGGTAAATAGATAGATAGGTAGATAAACAGACAGAGAGAGAGATAGAGGGATAGATAGAGAGATGGATAGAGAGATAGGTGGATATATAGATAGAGAGATAGAGAGATATATAGATAGATAAAGAAGATAGATAGAGAGATAGAGAGATAGATAGATAGATAGATAGATAGATAAGCAGATAGATAGACAACACGAAAGATAGATAGATATGTAGTTAGGTAGATAGATAGGTAGAGAAAGATAGATAGACAAGCAAACGAAAGAAAGAAAAAACAGATAGAAAGAAGGAAAGAAGGGAGGAAGGAAAGAAAGGAAGAAAGGAAGAATGACGGAGAAAATGAAACAATGAAAAGGAAGAAGAAGAGAAAAAGAGTCAAGAAAAGAAAGAGAAAGAGAACTATAGTTTCTAAATTATTGAAACTTCCGCCCACCGGCTTCGCCGGCTCTACTGGTATATATATATATACACAGACGCGTGCATATGTATATATATATATGTACGCAATGCTAACCCCACATTCATCAACCCGAGCGTAATAATAGGGCGGTGTTCCCCTCCACAAGTGATGAATCCCAATCATTCTCCGCCGACCCCGCGCCTGGTCAATGGACCATGCTTTTGGCATGGGGGCGGTGTGTTCTGTTGATGTTGGTTTCTCTGTTTTCTCTAAGTTTGATGTGTGTGTGTAATGTGTGTCCCTTGGGCCGGGAAAAATAGGTCGGCTGGATGTCTGGATTCCTCGATTTCTGCATTTTTGGATTGCCGGATTGCTGGAATCCTAGATTACTGGATTGCTGGATTACAGGATTTCTGGATTCCTGGATTCCTGCATTCCTGGATTCCTGGATTCTTGGACTCCTGGAATTCTGGATTCCTGGATTCCTGGATTCCTGAATTCCTGGATTCCTGGATTCCTGGATTCCCAATTTTCTGGAAAATAACGAGGGAAAAGCAAAGTGAAAATGATGACGTGGCCGACAAGAATGATGATGATGACGGCTGATGAAAATGATGATTAACGTGATGATGACAAATGATGATGATGAACATCATGATGATGATGATGATGATGATGATGATGATGATGATGAGAATGAAATGATGCTGAACAATGATGAACGATAAACATGATGATGAACATGATGATGGACATGATGCTGAGAATGGTGCTGGAAATGTGACAACGATCATGATGAAAATGGTGATGACAACGAAGATGAACATAATCATGATGATGATGATGATAATCATGAACATGATGAACTGATAATGAACATGATGATGAAATCATGAAAATGAACATGAAAATCATTTCCATCATCATGCTCATCATCATCATCATCATCATCATCATCATCATCATCATTTTCATTATTCTCATTTCATCATCATGTCCATCATCATGTTCATCTCATGTCCATCATCATGTTCATCATCATTTGTCATCATCATGTTCATCACATCATTTTCATCATCATGTTCATCATCATTTTGCATCATCATGTTCATGGCATCATTTTCATCATCATGTTCCTCATCATGTTTCATCATCATGTTCATCACATCGTTTTCATCATCATGTTCATCATCATTTTTCATCATCATGTTCATCACATCAGTTTCATCATCATGTTCATCATCATGTTTCATCATCATGTTCATCACATCATTTTCATCATCATGTTCATCATCATGTTTCATCATCATGTTCATCACATCAATTTTCATCATCATGTTCATCATCATTTTTCATCATCATGTTCATCACATCATTTTCATCATCATGTTCATCATCATTTTTCATCGTCATGTTCATCATCAATCACTTTGATCATCATCACCATCCGAGCTCTTCCCCAGTTCGCTTTGTGCACCCCTAGCTTGGAATGTAAAGGGATGGAAAGGATAGGTGGAGTGTCTCTTTCATCCTCTTTCGTATTTCCAATTCACTGTTTGCTAACAAAAACCTTTAGCACTACTGTGTCTCTAACTCTGTTTGTTGTCTGACTCTTTCTTCTTTTCTTAGACATGACATTATTATCGAACTACTATGTATTAATACTAGATTATCTGAATCTCCTTTTTTGCTCTAGGTGTGTGACTGTGTGAGTGTGATCATGAGGGAGTCGTCGTTTGGACTTGGTTGTTTTGTTTTTTCATTTGCTTTGAAGGGCAACCAAAGAGAAGCCCAGTTTTCAGAGCGAGCAACCAGGGGGAAGGAATCAACATGTGAAGCTTCAATTGGTGCCCATCTATGTCTAGGAAAATTAAGGGGTGCCCGAATTAATTTCAAATGGGTATCCTATGCGACCCTTTCATTTCTCTGGCTCCCCTGATGTAAAGATCTCCCCAAATAAATCATTACGTATTTTAAGGAGAAACAAAACACCAGCATGTTTGGTGGTCCTATGTTGAGACGAACCTAAAAAAACCTTCTGAGCCCTATGGGCGCGGCCGAGCCGGGCCGGAGGTCATGCAATAGGACGGTGTTCATTGTACAAGTGATGAATCCCCAGCATTAAACCAGGTACACACCCCTTATTAATTAACTGGAGAATCTCACTCGATCTTTTGTACACATACTCGTTCCTGTTTCAATGGGAATGGGTTTAGAAGGCGGCTTCAATTGAGTCCGTTCGCGAGTCCATACAGCGCATTGGAAGCTATCACGGCGTTGAACACCATCAACTTCGATGTCCTGTAGTCAAGCTGCTTCAGGATAGACATAGTGTCGCAAATGCGTCGCTTGATCTCGTGTTTTGGGTTGCCTATCTTGCAGATTTCAGCTCCCAAGTACATCGCGGCGTCTACTGACGTCATGTGTTCGCCACTTGTGGACTTGACCGGCACACCTGCGCCAAAAACGAAAAGTTAATGCCTTGGAACGCTTTCCTGCGCGAGGGTGTCTGTTGTCTGCAGACATGATGCATTGCAAGACTAAACAAGTAAGGGCCCAACGGCACCATTGTCTGAAAAGCCGCTTGCTGCGCTCGCCAGGCACGGGGTACGATACAGCGCTTTTGTTCGGTGAATGAAATCAGACGGAAGCCGAGTCATCTTGGGTTGGCAGCCGTGGGAGCACTAGCTTCACACCTGGCCGTTTTGCGAAACTGCTGCGCTTCGCTTCTTTTGATCGCGGCGGCCGCTGCGCAAAACTTAGAAAGCCAGCTTTTTCAGGGGCGGCGGTCACCCAGCGGTCTCGGCAACGCTGCCAAAATTGGCAGTGGCGTGGCGCTGACAGCGCAGGGTGGCATCGGCCCAAAACAAGGCCGCAGTCAAAAGGTCACAAGCTTTCAAAGTTGGCAAGTGGAGGCACACAGCTCGGGTGTGCCCCTTAAAAAAGACCGCCATGCTGGCAAACGGCAATGAGCGCACCTCCGGCTGGCCTCCTCAAGCGAAAGGAAGTTCGCGCCGGCCCTTAAAGGCTGGACAGATTGTGTCCCAGGAATCCTGTCGCACTCTGGTCTGCAACTGGGCCGCCGCAGTGACCAAACTTCGGGCAGGCGTCCCGAGTAGGAGGCAATGTTGAACGTTGCC